CACATCCTCATTACCTATCAACGGTTGATGATGGTAACTGGAAATCGTGACTGGGATTCACACATCAGTCATGATCACAGTGACAGATGTTATCGCTCTGCCTCTCACCACGACTCCATAAGCATCTTTCATTAACATGAAGCCCGCCGACGCACACTCAAGCATGAGTAGCGCAGTGATTACACAGGAAATGAAGTATACATATCCATTCTTATTCTAGTTATTAGAAGCAGTTGCCAGCAGCTTGGTGGCACAGGAAGTAAAGCGGCTTCCTTCCAGATTCAGACCAAGAAGTCAGTATCCTGCAAAATGTTCCTTATTTATCTGAGAGTACCTGAGGACTATTTTGCTATTACCTCACTAGAGAAATTAATCCCTTGAAAAGCACTAGAAAGTGTCTTATACACGTTCATTACAATATAATGTTTATAACAAATACTGTCTGGGTTGAGTAGTGTTGCTCATATTGCTACTAATCTTTAGCTTATACAGTATTAACGATTTAAAAGTTTAGGCACATAACTCAAGTATATAACATTGAATGGGTCATGCATTTAAAGTTGTTTACAAAGATAATGGTATGATTAAACCATCTGATGTTTAGAGTGAAGAATGTGTCTGCTAGTGCTTTAATGTGGCATTTTAATCAACCATTTTTATTACCGTGTTGATTTCTGCAACCGTGCTTATTCACACTGCCAATTAATTTCTGCTTTAGGTATTTTATTATATATATAAAAACAGACATAATAAACTAGTTTCTCTTCATTAGGGTAGTCCAGTATTGTCTATTAGTTTGTGAAAATACCTCATGTAAGTATGATAAATACTGAAATATTAAAGGAGATTTATATTACTTCAATATTATCTAAAAATATAAAAAACAGCAACTTTTACTATTGCTGTTTTTCTATATGAATGTATTAATCTACACTTAAGACATGTCAGGAGTATTTTATAAAAGAATCAAGCTAAACCTGTTTTGACAAGTGTACACAGCTAGGACAATTATTGATTTAGTTTTGCACTTCACACTTTCTCCTCGTAACAGTGGCTGCCATCTGGCCCGTGAATACGGTCATTATAAATTAATTGGTCAAGAATTACAAGCAGCGGAACAAAAGAGGACATTAGCAACATGAACTTCACCAAGACGTTAATTCCAACAACAGTTATGAAGCTTTATTTACGATGATGACTAATTACGATAGTGCATGGAAATAAATAGTGGATGCCACACAGTAATGAGACAGGTGGTGTATTAGTGCAGAGTTCTGCTGTGGCTGTCTCCTCTCCAGTGTGCAGAGCGTTTCAGGCAGACAGGTAGACACTTTTTTTAAAGGAGACACCCACCAGGGCCAACCATGATAATGCCGGCTGTCCAAGATATGCCAGCACCGTTTAAAGAGTGTGAGCTGCGACTGTGCTTCTATTCAGATGAGCCTTGATTAAACTGCTGATGGACGGTTGAGGTAATTATTCTGCCTGAGTTATGATGATTAGGCATTGTGGTTCAACACTCACACTTATATTTTGTTGAGTTGTTTTGATGCCTCCTGCCAGCTGGGTAGTGGTGCACCAGACAGCCTATTCTCACTTGTGACTAACTATGGTCAATCAAAAGATCTTTTAAAACTTTAAAAGAGATCGCTTCCTGTTTTCAAACTTTTTCCCTCTCTGGGCCAACACAAAGACCTCCACACTTTTCTCATTGCTCATACTCATTTAAGGGAAAATGTCCTTCCACAAACAAAAATATTTGTTCGACTTGCCTCTGTGCTTTTTATTTACTCAACTTTTTGGAGCAAGCAATAACAAATCCCAAAGCAAAGACCCCAAAACATTTCAACAGAGCTTTGGTTGGGGATTAAAAATAATTGAAAACTATTTTAACCTCTTAAAGGCTTGGCTTGGTTTGACACAGACTGCATACTGTAACAATGTACAAACTCCTCGGTTAATATAGATGCAGGCTGTAAGGCAGTGTGTTTGACATCCAGTACATGCAGCCTCCTGCTGTGGCCTCCAGGCGTCAGTTCCTGCAATCTGTCAGAAGCAATATTCGATGTATTATAACATAGTTTTAACTTTGACTCAAAATCCTCCCCATGAGTCACTGTCCCTGAGCTGGAAACAAGTACAACCTCACCTTTTAAGCATATTCTATATTTGCACATTCAGGTCAGGTGTGTACCTTTTACCCTGACTCACAGCTATGTAAGACAAATTGCAGCAGCAGACTTTTTTTGTCACAGCAATTTGACTATTAAGCGAGCCTCATGCAAGTTCAGATATACAGTGGCCACGTACTATTTTGCATATTTTAGAGCATTCTGGTGATTTATAGCACAGAAGCAATTAAAGCACAGGATGTCTCAAGGGCCCCCACCTGTCTTGTACCCAAACAACCCTTTGATCTCTGGTAAGTGGCTGCATTCATATTGTCAGACTTTATATGAATAGAATTCAATTATTTCAGAATTCATGCAGCATCACCAAAAGTCTAGAGAGTTGGGGAGCAGCAGCCATCACTGCAGGATCTTGGAGAAGTTTAGGATCTTTCTGGATGTGTGTCGTAACACTGCCCCCTTATGGTCATAACAGAAGTATTTTTCAGTGCATCTGGAGCATGGGAGAGGTTGTGTTTTTGACCCTCAACAGTCAGGGGTCAGTATTTTCTTGTCTTACACCTGCAGAAACCTTTGAAAAAACAGAGCTGCAGAACAGAATAGACCGTATTTCTTTTTTTCGCCCATGCCATCTGCCTTAGTGTTAGTCATCTGAATCACATGCAGAGATGCAGCTTGTACACTGTGGTGCTTTTTATTCCAGCTTCATCATCCATGTAAATGTGTTTTTTATATTCTACAAGCTGAGAAGAAGAGAAGGGCATCATACCTTGGTTTCCCATCTGCTGCGAGCAAATATTCAATCCAACATATGGTGGTGGTAGTAGAGCAAAATCACATGAATTAAAGTGTGCAGATTAATCAAACCTTTAAATACAACTAGGTTAACAATATGATATTATTGCTTCCTCCTCAAGCAAGCAAAATAAATCTATTCGCTGTTTAAATGCATCTCACCTGAGACACAAATGTTCAGTTCTTGGCAAGTTTTTCCTCACTGTGACACCAAATCACTCAAAAATTAAACAGATAAACGATGTTATGGCTCCCTCATGTCCACTCAATATTTTTATCGGCACTTTAATGAAATAGAAGCACTACTAGCCTTATGCAGCTGTTTATGATTGCTTTTTCTGACTTCAAATGCTTGTGTCAACAGGGAATATTTAGCAACAAAAAAAGTAGGGCCTTATGATTCAAAAAGGAGACGATAACTGCACAAATTACCAGACTTCATTATTTATTCTAACAGCACAGCGTCGATAAGAAATAGTGTGCCCTTATCAGCATTACATAGTCTGAATAAACATTTCAGTTTTATATCCGCTGCCTCTTTTGAATAATTAATCGTCACTCTCTAATCCACCGATTGGGTATAAGTGCTTTAACGCGAGGACATTACTGGAACAGTATGTTTATTTTATTCTAGCAGATGCATTCTTAGAGGTTGAGCCAAGAAAGCAAACCTTCTGAAATCCAGCGCACCTTCACATTCTTGTATGTGCTTTGGCACGAGGACTGTGTGATGATTGCACACATTCTGTGACAACAAAGAACAGGAGAGGCGGTGCAGGAGAGAGTATAAAGACGGGGAAAGAGTCTTGACAGCCTTGAATCAAGATGCTCTAAATGCTCCTCATGTCGTTGTTGATGTTGACTGTCGACACGTAGCAGTATGTCTCCGCCTGTCTCCGTCTGGGTTTCATCGTCGTAGAGTTGCTGCATGCTACGTACAATCAAACAGGCCTTTTATGTCAGGACAGAATACAAGTTAATTAACCTGGAATCCAAGCCAAAATATATGAAGAAAGAAAGATGATTTCCATTTTTGACAGGATACATTAAAGGAAAAACTATATTACCACTTGGATGATAACATTGTTCACTACCCAATATTGCTAGAAATTCTAAAACAGTTAGACTTATGTACAGCTTTTGGCTAAAGGTCAAAAGCCATGCTAAGCTTTGGGCTAACTGCTCATATCATTTTGCTAACATGATCTAAATGGCAATGCTAACATGGTGATGTTTAGCAGTTATAATGCTGTTATAATGCTAATACCCAGTTGACCATCGTTTTGGTGTTAGCATGCTAATATTAGCTAATTCACAAGTCAAGCTGAGTCTAATATTAAATAATTTGTGTATTTGGCCATAATCCAAAGTATAAAACAAATGTAACTTTTGAATTGATGGTGCCACCATGTACAACTCAAGCTAAACACCAATGTACCTAAAGTCATTACCAACAGTAACAGTTTACAACAAACGTAGGCAACTTAGCAAGTGTTTGGCTCGCAGTTTCCATGTGCAATGAGATTTTTACTGACATTTCTGATGCTCTATGTTCCATCCCAAATAAAAAAGGACATAATCTGGCGCTTTTGGTTTATTCAAAATCACTTGGTTTATTGTTTCCTCCGATATTAGTAGTTAACTTTGCGTGTTAAAGATATTAGAATCGATTACCGAAACAGTGGAAATAACCCAAATTGAAACAAGCCAGAAATACCCATTAAGCTAATAAGGTTGCTTGATCACGCAGCTAGAGCACTTTCTAAGATTAGCAGCAGTTTCTTGTACTAGCTCTGGTTTGGTTCTGGCTCATGGGATGCCAATATGTTCAGTCAATCAATCGGCAAGTCAGTCAGCTACACATCAATCCAGTCCAGTGAAGAGTCACACAGTAATTGAACCAGAGCCAGTCAAGCACTTGGCCAGTTACCGTGAGAAAAGTCCAGCCAAAAGGGCAGGCGATGTCCAACTCCTGATGATTTCCAGATGAGAGCCCAGACGGCAGACCTGAGACGAAAACATACTCAGAATAGAAAAAGAGAGAGTGAGAGGGGATGGGAGTAGGGAGGGAGGTGGCAACAAATGAATGCACTGAATGAAGGAATGATCCTGCATATGAAAGTCCAGTGAAATGTTGAAACTCAACTCAAGTGTGTGAGGATCAACATGACGCAGCGGTGGGCTCTACTCATCATTCTTAACCTGGCCATGTACCTGGCAGCCTCTCAGCATCACAGGAAAAGTAGGTGTATCTTTTATCTCCCTATCACTACGATTGTGATTTGCTTCCTCATTTCAAATAGTATTAGCTTTTGGAAACAAACATGTTTGACAGTTCAATCTTGTTTTGCTTTTGTGTTTGTGTTTCTGTGAAATAATGTGTTTTTCTTCCGGAGATATTGGGAACATTGTGACATGCAAGACATCAACACTTGATTTTCCAATGAAAAGTGATGGCCTGTTGTTACTGGATCCACTCACTTAGGAAATTCCTTTCTCCAAACTCGCACACTATAAAATCCTTGGTCCTCCTTCCTTGCATGATGCTGAAAAACAGCTTCAGAACAGACAGGATTTGAGTGATAGTTTAACTAAAATAGTTTTTAAAGACCTTTCTGCCCTCTGCCAGGAAGCAAATTATTGCAAGAAAAGTTGGGGAATTGTTGTTTTTATTCATGACAATGTAATATTTGTTTGGCCACCTGAGGGGAGCAGAGAAAGCTGCAAACACAACATTGACATATCACCTTTATGAAGCAAACATTTGCCTTTTACACATCCATACACATTAGAATTAATTTCATCCATTAGATTACACAGAAGGTATATTGACTAGCCGTTACTTATATATTTTGGTATATTAAAACTCAGTCAAAACAACATTTATATCTTTCATAAACAAAAATCCTATTCATTTGAAACTTTTAATTGTGAAATAGAAAGATTGTCACCTTTATCTTGACTTTTTTCACTGAGTAGAACTTAATCAACTATGTAACATTTTGTAATACAGACTAATACATCCCAGTGTGTCTAATCATCACCAGTCTTCCAACTATTTTAATATCCGAAGTTTCAGATCCTATCTCGTCTTTCCTTGCACAACTTGACTTGCTTAGCTTGTAAAAGAAGTGTCTCACCGTGGGAATATTTATGGGGAAGTCTCTGTTTACACTGTAAATGTTAGAGTTTGCTAGAAAAATGCAGTTTGTTTGGATTTTAATATGATTTGGAGGTGAATTTAAATACTAAGCAGAAGATGGGCCATTGCGGCAAAGACTTTCATTCCCTCCCGTGTCCTTTTCACCCCTGTTACCGTAAGCCAGAGGGATCCAGACATCCATATTGTTTTTGTTTGCCTCTCTCTCTCTCTCATCAAGACATCCCTCCAGCCAGGAATACCATTTAGCCCTGCTAATTAATGGATCTTTGTTGTTCCCTCATCTCCTTGCAAGCAGGTTAACGGGAGATTACAAGTTCCCTGCCTGTGCATAATGACATTGGGGGAAGCCTGCCCGTCCAAATGCAGATTGTTTGGAGCTCTGCAGGAGGGAGGGGAGGCATGAGGGAAGAACAGACTCAGAATGAGCAACAGGAAAAGCAAAGATGTAGTAAGAAGAGACATCTTTATTTGAAAAATCATTTTTTCCCCTGCAGTGACACGTTAAAAACTGAATATTAAATACTAACAAATCTTTTAACTGGCTTAATATTTACAGTAACTGGAATGAACTGATTTCGATAACTAGTTTTTTTTTTTATTGCTGGTGCCGGTCTAATTGCTTGAATCTGTCTTGCCGTGATAATCAGCTTTGCCCTCTCCTTCTCATCACCTGACCTAGACCCTTAGGTACTTGTTCACAGTTTCCAGTGTATATATGTACCCTTTCCCTCAGTTCCTTGCAAGATTGTCTGACTGGTCTCTGTGATGCAACTTTCTCCTGTTTGCCCGCCTCCCTTAATGCTTTTATCCTTTGCCTTTTTGGATCTCTAGCCTGACTGCTTTGCCCTTTTTTCTGCCTCTCTGCCTGTTTCTGAACACTGTTTTTGACCATTGACACAGAAAGCTTTGCTTTTAGCTGCCTGTTGCTATTGTGTGTACATTTGAGTCATGTACCTGCTCTCCTACTAGCTCCTACAAATGAACAACATCGCATTTTCTTTTTAACTTCCTTGCATGAATGTTGTGGTCTGTTTCTGCGTCTGCATCAGTGCTGCTCCAACCATGTGAGCTTTAACAAGCAATAAAATGTTATTGCTAACTGATGTTTCCCGCTGCTGGAATCATAAATTCTCTCTGCACACCTAAGTACTTTTTCAAACAACAAACAATGACAGCGAGTAGTAGACAACTTTTATATAAAGCACAGATTATTGATTTCTAATTCAAACCACCATTGGCTCTGCTTCCCAGGTGTAATGTCCCTGCAGCTACGCAATCTTTTATCAACATAACCCTTGTTGTAATGAGCACACTTTCTCTTTGTGCTGTTTTGTTTACCTTGACAATGCCTCACTGCAGCTAAAGTGTCTCTTCAGTATCTATTATGACTGCACAGGCATTCCTTCTGCGCTGCTGATCGTGCATTTGGGAGTCACTTACTCAATGAGGAGTGGTAATTTTCACCTGCTAGTTGCAATGTTTTCATAGCTTCATGTCAGTGTTGGATCTATAAAAAAAATCCTTAGTGCCGTTTGGGGTGTTAGAACAATTTATGGAGGGTTTTATCTTCTACAATTACACTCCAAAAGTTTTTGAAGGCTGATTGTGAATATCCATTGTTGAGAAGTTCCTGAAACGTATGTAGAGTTTACAGCAAAGCTTTTGTCGCACAATAAATAGTTTTAGATCAGAGTTCGATGCTAAGAACGATACCACTCTACATATCTCTACAGTACAAATAAAGCTAGAGCCATAGCTTAGCTTAGCTTAGCATTTCGTTTTGAAGCAATAAGTGAAACACATTGCTTTTATGAGCATCAATAAAAGTTCCTTGATTATATTATATAATATTATATTATATATTGAACAAGGGAAAACACTTTGTATGACTCTGTCCATAAGTAACAAAAGAGAAAATTGTAATTCTTTCAGTCTTATTGTTATTGTGAGGATTACAAGCAGTACACCTGGCATAAAAAAAGTCCTTAGGAGTTCCTTAGATATGGCAACATATTAGTTTTACCTTTTTACTGTACTGATGAGTTATCTTTGGAGTTGATGGATGTGTTACTTTGTCCAGCATTCAGGCTAGCTGTCCCCCAGTTTCCACTCTTCTATGCTAAGCTAAGCTATCTCTAGCTAGATTTTAACCATTGAGTGGTGTTAAGTTAGGTTAGTCTTGCAATAAGGAATACAGAAGTATCTCCCAAAATGACCAACTATTCAATTTTAGTTAAAGGATTTACAGATTAGTTTCAGATGATGGAGAAAAAAGTTTGGACTTTGAACTCTTGACATAAGTATTTCTATAATCACAACAATGGCCTTTTTTGGTTGGGGCAAGTTTGAGAGGGTGAACGGTTAAGATAATATGCTGACAATAACACCATGTAAGTGGGTTTTATTATTCCAACAATGTAACATAAAGCTGCATATTTTCTTTTACATTCTGAATGATGGCTTGGTTGTGAAAGCAAAGCCGGAGCTGAGACTGGCAGTCACCCAGGCAGAAAGCAGGTACATGGGGAGATGAGCCAGTGCATGCTGCTTTGGCTGGCCTCACAGATGCTATGAAGCCTAACTGTATCTGGACGAGGAGGCTGCGGGCAGCGGGGCCGATCGTTACTCCAGAATTGGCGAGAGAGCACACCGTGGATTCCGCTGTAGGACATGAGGTGTATTGTATCAGAATTCAGATGGAGCCCAGCGTTCATGCTGTATACCTCATTAAGATCTGTGTGTGTGATCTGTGTGGTGGCTTACACGCTGAGCCAATAACTGGATGGCAGCAGCATATGCGAGCAGTGGAAAAAGAGTGAGATGTCAAAAGAGGTTTAAATTACTTCGTTTTGCTGTGAATCCCCTTTTAGCTCTAGTCACCTTTACTTTTCACTTCACTCTGCTGAAGCAGTGTCATCCAATCGCTCTTGGACTCTCACACAATGGATGGCATTGTATTATGAACATATTTTAAGAGTCAGGGCAGCAATAGTAGTCGTATAAACAGTATGAAAGGGGAAAATGTGGATCCTTGTGTGACCTCTGCTTTTATATTCAAGACTTGACTTGAACTCCCAAAGACTTTTCATTACTAGTGGGAATATCTGCACAACATCACACTGAGTGGTTAAGCAGAAATGAGACTGTGATTATGGTGGTGAGAGATCAGGCTAGTTCATAAATCCTTTCTTGGACACAGATACAGTAGCCTTTCTGATTTCATTAGGAATTAGCTTTCTGAGTAGCCAAATGCTAAAAAATAAACTCACTTTAGGGGTTTTCCTTCCAAAAATAACTGTGCCCCACAAATGCATAAACATTGTGTCACTGTTGTGTTTTTCACCTTGTTCAGCTGCACTCAATTGACCTAGAAGCTAATGTGGCTGTTTACCCATTTCAAGCCTTTGTGTTAAGCTATAAGCTAACTGCCTGTTGGTTGTAGCTTAATTGAAAAAATGTGAAACATAGGAAATAAATTAAACAAAATACTTGAGTAAATGTACTTATTTACTTCCTACCTATTGATCAAACGTGTCATAGCATGTGGAATTGGCAATTGTTATCACATTCAGTCAAATATAGATTTGTTATCATAAAGATGTGGCAACTGTTCCACTAGCTGAGAGATAGGTCTTTCTTTCCCGCCCTATCTGGACACCACCAATAACGCGGTCCCTGATCTGCGACACTTCTGAACTGACACTCTGAAATCTGACCAATTGAGGTCAGCTACACCTGCCCCTCTGTGAGCGGGGGTATCTCACCTCTGGGTGCACCGACCACTGCCACTTGTAAATATAGGAGCATCTGTGGCTCTGGTGAAAGACCTATTACCCTCTGCCCAGCTGGAGCCAGATTCCTTCCCACCTGCATAATATTTGAGCAGTAACGTATCTGTGTTTTCTCAACCTCTGGCCCACCCACAAGCATGACACATCGGATAATACGCTGCCTAATTTTGTGAAAACAGGAGAGATCCTCTAATCTAATTTCCTGTACTTCTGGGTCCTAGCTCTGTATCCATCTGCATATAGGATAAAGCGCGGGACGTATTCGCTCATCAACCCCACGTTCCTGCGATCGGCAGAGGATGTGGACCTGCTTTTTGAGGTCAGTTCAGACCCTTTGTGTTTAGAGGTGCTGAAATGGTTAATGACTCGGCTTTAATACTGGAGCCACTTTAATTATACTGGGAATTTGCAAAAGATCTGTCCCAGTCCAACATTTGTAGTCAATCTTCCTTTGCTAAAAATGGCTGTTCTGCTAATCATGTGGAGAGAACTGTGTGTACCCAAAGTTTTCCTGACATTGATGAAAGGAATGTTTTTTAAGTTGAATGCTGTCGTCAGTTCTAATCACAAAAAGGACAATAAAAATGTACTTGTAGATAGACTTCTTCTTTCATTGGTGGACCTTTGGCCCGCAGATCCTGCTGGCTGGAATGCAGATCCGAGATGGAGAACACCACATGCTGATCCCAGATGAGGAGCTGGCCTCCCTGAGGAGCGTGGAGAAGCTGGAGGTCATCTGTGAGGACGTCCTGCCCAAGTCGCTCTCAGACATCCGCCGCCTGACAGTGGAGCTGGGCCGGCGCCGCCAGCCTCTGAGCTGGCAGGACTTCGAGAGGACGGTGCTGACGCTGGTGTACACCACCCAGACGCTGGCTGGAGCCAGCAGCCAGCAGCAGAAGGAGGCGTGGACAGACGCAGCGGTGCAGCTGTTCAGAGCCCTGCAAAAAGACCTCAAAGACCTTGAGGGAGGATCACAAGATGTATTATTTTAAGATGTTTTTATGGGCATTCACTTGCTTATGGTCACTGATTTATTGTATGTGTTACACTGCAGTTCCTGTCTGAAGCTTTTTCCAAGAAGTTATCGATCCAGTATACTAATTGTTATAGAATACAAGAAATCAACCAAAAGATAACTCCTATCCACCCATTAAAATACTAGTTATTGAAAACACTAGTGGGTGGAACTTAAAGGTCTCCTATTATGCTATTTTTAGGCATATATTATGGGTCTCAGATATATACAAATATATTAAAAACATGTCTATGATGTGTTTTGCTCAAAATACCAAACAGATCATGCATTTTAGACATCCCTCATATCCCTCTATTTCAGCCCTGTTAGAGAAGCGCTGATTCTGTGACTGTAACTTTAAATTTGAATTTGGCTGATGCTAGCCCCGCCCCTGTTTGAGCACGGCAAGGCAAGCAGTGAGGTCTCCTCTCTGCCGGCAGAATGTCAGCTAATTTCTGCCGTGATTAAATGCCATATTATGTTCCAAACCACTTCAAGGATTATTTCTGAAACAGTATGGAGCTCAAATGCTTTTTCTCTTGCGGGTTTACCACAAGGTGAGTTCCTTTTTTTATTTCCTGCTTTTTTACACATATTCTTTCCAGTACAGGTTAGCTCTGAGTGTTAGTGATGCTTGCTAATGTAAACAAAGATCATATTACTTCCAAAACACGTTGTGCATTGTTTCTGATAGTGACATTTCTGATAGGGCCGTTGGTGTAAAGCCAGCCCAAATGTTCAATATCACGTCATATCGGACGCAAATCTGGATCAGCTCCATTGTACCCCTGTTTTTAGAGATTTGTGTACGGAGCAAAAGAGAGAGGTTTTGTTTTCTGACACTTTGTGAGTTTCCTGACACACCGGGGACACAAACAAAAAAAAAGTGCATTTTGCCTGATAGGAGACCTTTAAGATATGATATTTTTTGTATTTCTGATAAAAAATAACTTTCAAACTCAAGTATTTAATGCACTTTACGCTTTTGTACCAACGAATCATGGAATAGCTGTGAATTTAACTTCAGACCGTTCCTTCTCTAAAGGTTTAAGCAGAGACAAGCCATTCAAGAAAATGTCAAAATATGTCTCCTTTATGTAAAGTTCATCTACTTTCTACTAGATAACTTGATTTATTTCCATATTTCTTTTGGCATTTGTCTCTATTACACATTTTTTATTAAAATACAGGACACAGAAAGTGTACGACTATGAATCACTGATTTATGTTCTTTTGCTTTTTTCCAATTGTATTTCTCCTCCCAGCTCGTACATTCTCAGTTCTGATTGTAACCATAATGCATTATGTTTGATCCTACTTATTTGTTCATTATGTGGAAATGAAATAAAACCAGCAAAGCATCTGTGCTCCATGTATTTGCGCGCACCACAGCGTGGCCTCATTAATCAAATGTGTCCCAGCGAGCTATAATAAACTGCCACATGCCTGCAGTCTCAATGGGCACATGGGCATGCAGTGGGTACTCTAAAAAACTAAACAAAAGAAAGAACATAAATACTAGTGAATAGTCTGGGTGTTGTTCTGGACCCAGTGTGACTTTTTTCCGATGATTCTGAACTTTAGCCTACTTAGGATTTGCTAAATGAAACTATATGCAGCACATTAGTTTGACAACTTCAAGCAGACTGTTTACATGTTTGACTTTAGATGGCATTAGTTGCTTCTCACTGTCTAGAAGAGATTGCGCAGATTGGATTTGCCACTAAAAGCCTTTTGATGAAAGGCCACAGATTGTACTTAAGTGTTAGTTTGCTTCAATACCCCTGATTGCTCATTTGAGCAAACTGTTCAATGTTTGATGAATGTTTGCCACCCATTTCCTCACTTCTTCTTGGAATAGGTACTTGCCTTAATTGGCTTTCGTGCAGTTCACTCATCTTGGAGTGGATAGAAAACATATATCTGGTTTGTGCTGTTTTACCTCCTTGAGTCGATTGGTTTTACATTTGCTTACATTTTGGTTCAATGCAAGCTTTTATCCAGCCTTGGAAATGTTGCTCTCCCAATGCTTTTCACTTCCTGCGTGTTTCCACAAGCATTTAATGTCTGAAAATGTAAAAGATGATCACGGATCTTCTTTATTTACAGGATCTTGTTTCTCATGTCAGTATTCATTTGATGCCCAAAGCTACGCTGACTCAGGAGAAGTTATTGACATACAGAGCATCGCCCTTCACTTCCTACGATGCTGATGAGATTTGGGACGTTTCTGGGCACTACTTGACAGAGCGTGAAGAAACCAGGTATTGGCAACAAAAAAAAGGAAAGCTTCAGATTTTGTTCTCAGTATTGACTCTGACAATTTCATTTAGGCACTCCCACACTTTCAGCGCCTCTGCTCCAAGTTATTATATGACTCCAGAACCCAGACTGTAATGATTCTTATCTTTGGATCTTATAGTTATCTGCTTCTGGCATAAAGTACCTTAATTGTCTCGTAAAAAGACTCACTGACCGCATTGATTCTCTTTATCTCCATCTCCATGGTGTAGATTTAACAAGAGAAATTAGGATTTAACTGATTTACTGATCAATATACTTCATGAAAATTGACTCTGTAATATTTTATCCCTTTAGTTTTATTATCCCTTAATGTTGTGCATAACCCTCAGCACTTTAATACATGTTTAGAGAGCAGCACCAAGTGGCAGTCGGCAGAACTGCTGTCTTAGTTCTCCATCTGAAACTATGCTCTTACATAAAGCTTTATCTTTATTATAGAAATTATATTTAAATCTTATAGTATTATCACCAAAATGTACTATAGATGGATAGATCTTTATTGTACACATGTGTGCGGTAGGTTGTGAGGTGATGATTAGATAGATATTTATATACTTTATTCATTCCAAATTGGGAAATGAGTGATGCATTTATGTATTTATTAACTATATCACTTTATATCAATATTATATTTATGTCACTTTAATGTTGCAGCTAGTAAACGTGAGGCTCATTACTCTACATACCGCTGGATAGCTTGTGATTTAGCCAAATGTTCTTCATTATCATCCAATCAACAGGAATCATTACACCTAAAAGACATTTTGCTCAAAAACATAGCCCTTAAAGTGTGATATAATTAGCAATAAAACATTACATGGATTTCTTCTTCTCTTTTACCTTAATAACATAATAAACAAAGCCTTTCTTCTTCAGGGGGACAGTTATTGCCTCTCTGTGTAAATATTCTTAATGATCACCAGGACATGTTCACTAGGTGGCAGCATTTCCAAATATTATTCTTTGTTTTATCTTCATTTAGTCATGATTGTGTCATTTGTTATTCATGTGTGCAGATGTTTTGTGGGTACAAAGGGACAACTGAAGTAATGCTACAACATGTAGGAGTCTCTACCCTCATTCCCTATCCTGAGACCATGTAGTGCACATAGACTAAGAGCCTTTGAATCATTACAATGTCATTCTGTTATGCAGATGCAAGACGTAGGCTGCTGCCAGAGACAAAAATAAATGTGGCATTTCCTATTTGATTTCTTTATTCCTTTTTTTGAGGGGTTGTGTTTGAGGCGGCTTCATTAGAGCTGAATCTTGTCAAAAGCGGGAAGTGTCTTTCCTGGTAGGGATATTTCGTGATCACCTCCAGATGAACAGCCAGTTGTTTCAACTCAAGCTTATCAGCTGCATATGTTTCCCCGCTCAGCCCTCAGACATATTTTCAGTCTCACTGCTCCTGCACAGAGGGACCGACGAGACATCACAATGTGTCACATATATACGCTCTGTGCAGTTCTGCTCCAAGTTAAACAACTCAATACCTTTTTCCATTTATAAAACCATCGCACGGCAACCTGCCATAATAAAACCTCTGAAAGAATGTAAGGATTCTTTCCCCCGTCTGCCACTCAGATGACTTGCTGTATAACTTGGCGTCTCCCTGCATATTATGTGAAAAATAATTCAGGATCCTGACCCAAGGCATCAAACGTTCCAGCAACACCATTAAAAACATTCCTCTGGCAAAAATCAGCAACAGGCCTTACAGGGCAGATTCTGTTCTTTGAAGATCTTTTGAGACAATATATTCATGTTGAAACTGTAGCTTTCTTATTAAACAAATTACTCATTATTCAAAATAGGAACGTTACACTGAAATAAAGCTCATAACCTCTGGATGTCATCAACTTTGCCATGTTCTCAAATGGCACCACCCTGCATGGTCGGATCGTATGTTTATGATTGTACAACATCAAAGGATTTAGTATGAGAACAGATCATTAGCTGAAACCAAGACATGGCTATTTTTAAGCCCTTTTATTCTAATGTGGCAAATGTGGTGTGTAATAGTAGCTGAGCCTAGAAGCGAGATGGTGTCAGGGGTGGAAACTGCAGAGGGGTTGGTTGGATTGATGGGTAGATGCATAGATAGATGGATGGATGGAGGTGGGATGCATTAGTCAGGGCAACAGGGAGTGGAGTACCTCTCTGTGTCTGAGTGGTAATTATATAGCCTGAGTGACAGCAGGCAGCCTGCTCTATCTGGCTTTCAGGAATCACACAATATCACACAAAAACATCACAGCTGGGAGACCTCCAGGTGAACGGCAAGGCACGAATGAAACGGAAATAAAAATGCTTTGTGTGAATTCTTATCCTCCTGATGCACAATTCAAATGATCAGAAGTTTTTTGTCAATATTGTTAATCTATGTTATTATACTTGTGGGATAGTTTTCAGCTTTCCCACCAAGTTGATTTGTTGGTTTCACATAGTCTTTGATAAGGCGATGTGAGAAAGTTGGCAGGCCATGGGATTGAGCATAATGCTCTCTTATCCTCCGCAACGCTTATCGGACATTGATATGAAGAGGTGGGAATTCACATGGGGGTTGTGGTATGTGTTTCAACACAGCTCTCGGTGTCTGATCTGATTGTCTTGGTTCAGTCCAGCAACAGGTGGAGAGCTCTCATACTGACGTGATTCATTCATAATCCCACAGTGATTTTCTTGGTGTGTTATCACAGACTCTCTTGAAATATTTTTTAGTCAGCTCTCAGAGGAGAAAATAAATATATATATAGATCCAATCAATACTTTTCATTACCTTGCCAACTAAACAAGCTTGCTAGCTCTAGCATTTGCTGGTAACCTAGCATTTGCTATGTTGCAATTGTCACATACTCCATCTTTTCTTCCAAATATGGTCACTCCTAAATAATTAGCAAGTCAAACCAGCTAGCTAGCTACTGTATGTTCACCTCTTTTACATAGTCAATGAACCTACCAGTTTCTCTGATCTCACAAATATATAAGTTATATCAAATGTTCAAGTTGTGGTTGAGAAGGTCGTTCCTTCTTCCTTTAAAGTGGACCTATCATGCTATATTTGAATAATATAGTGTAGGACCATACCTATAATAAGGCATATTTATACTTTTTCTTTTTCAAAATACCAAACAGATCATGCATTTTAGCCATGCCTCATTTTGCTCAATTTGACA